TTGCACACAGGCACAGGGAGAACATGCAAACTCCAGGCGGGTGGTGTCATGGCTGGGATTCAAACCAACAACCCGAGTACTGCCGGGCGGAAGTGCTAGCCACTTAGCCATTGTGCTGCCCATGTGACTACGTTTGGTGAAGCCAAAATCGCTTCAGGCTAGAATTTACAAGCTATGACCAGACAGCGGCCATTGGTATGAAGCGAACACATACAGATTAATGGTTGCAGCGCTGGGGTTGTGGCTTCATTTCTCAGAAGGAATTTAGGGCTCATGTACACTGCAGCTGATAAACTGACGTTTAGGAGCTTTTCTGCGTTTTTTTTCAGCAGCCCCTGAACTCTCCCTAATGTTCTCCTACGTGTCCGTGTACACATCGTCCTTTACAGGCAGTTGAGTTTACAGTCGTTTTTTTTGAACGCACCTAAATTGCGTTCAGGAGTAGATTTTATCAACGTTTCAAACGCCAAACGCTTGTAAACGCGGCTAACTGCGTTGATGCACGTTTGCATTTAGAAGCGGTTTCTAACAGTTCCATGTCCAGATGCTGTCCGGAGCCTTTTTTCATCATCAGAAATGCATGCAAAGCGTTTCCCATGTATTCATATGGACCCGGTACACCAGCGCAGTCAGTTCCAGGTTTCACGTGAAGGAAACAATGGTAGAACGTGCCGCATTATTCTCATGATGGGATCCATAGTGAATACAACCAGGAAAGACAGGTCATCTCAACACATACTGCTCTCTCTGCTTCTGCTCTCTCTATTCCTCTCAAAATGTCTGAAATAGTTCATTTTTTACTGTTTCTCAGTGCATTCTGGGCATTTGGGAAGGTCTCCTGACGTTATCTTAAAAAAACGCTTCTGAACGCAAATGCGCATAAACGCGGGATGCAAGCGCGGCTAAACTGACGTTTTTAACCAGTTGCCGACCACATGTAGCCGAATGACAGCTGCACTGCGGTCTGCCAGTTCTGGGAGGTCATCATATGACGTCCTCCCAGATCGTGCTCTCCTGCGCGCCCCCGGGGGCGATCTCCGTGACTGCTGTGTCCTACGGACACAGCTGATCACATGATGTGGTAAAAGGTCAATCACAGCGGCCTTTTACCACCTGATCAGCCGTGTCCAATGACACGCTGATCACCGGGAAAATGCAATTGCCGGTTCTCGGCTGCACTTTCCTCATGCTGTCAGAGCGCAAGGAAAGTACTGCTGAGAACCGGCAGTTATCAGAGGAGGGATCAGCACTGATGATCAGTGCCCAGCAATGCCACCCACCAGTTCTGCCCACAAGTGCCCAGCAGTGACACCCATCTGTGCCCAGCAGTGCCACCAACCAGTGTCCAGCAGTGCCGCCAGTCAGTGCCAACTATCAGTACTCATCATCAGTGCCACCGATCCATGCCGCCTATCAGTGCCCATCAGTGCTGCCTATCAGAGCCCATCAGTGCCGCCTATCAAAGCCCATCAGTACCGCCTATCAAAGCCCATCAGTACCGCCTATCAGTGCCCATCTGTGCTGCCTATCAAAGCCCCTATCAGTGCCGCCTATCAGTGCCGCCTATCAGTGCCCATCTGTGCCGCCTATCAGTGCCCATCTGTGCTGCCTATCAGTGCCCAGCGCTGCCAATCAGAGCCCATCAGTGCCACCTATCAATGTCCATCAGTGCTGCCTATCAGAGCCCATCAGTGCCGCCTATCAGTGCCCATCAGTGCTGCCAGAGCCTATCAGTGCCCATCAGTCCTGCCTATCAGAGCCCATCAGTGCCGCCCATCAGTGCCGCCTCATCAACGCACATCAGTGAAGGAGAAAAATTACCTGTTTGCTAAATTTTATAATAGAAACAAAGAAACTTTTTTTTTTCCAAATTTTTGCTCTTTTTTTGTTTATAATGCAAAAAAATAAAACACCCGGCGGGGAGTACATACCACCCAAAAGAAAGCTGTTTGTGAGAAAAAAAATGATAAAAATTTCATGAGTACAATGTTGCATGACCACGCAATTGTCATTCAAAGTGCGACAACGCTGAAAGCTGAACATTGGCCTGGGCAGGAAGGGGGTGGAAGTGCCCGGTAGGCGAGGGGTTAACCTCCGTTTTCCAGCGTCAGTTTCCATCATTCAGAAGAGTTTTCCATACGCCCCGTGTACATGGAGCCCTTCGATGCACGGGGTTGGTCGGTTGTCCCTGTGATTGGGCAAGTTTCCTCCAACTGAACAGGAACGTGAGGATCCGTCCCCGGAACGTGAGTCTGTGCTGGAGACGTTAGAGCAGGGGTACGCAACCTCACCACCATAGCTGCTGTGGAACTACAAGTTCCATGAGGCGTTGTAAGACTCTGACAGCCACAGGCATGACTCCCAGATGCATGATGAGACCACCGAGGCTGCCTACCCCTGCATTAGAGTGTAAGCTCCTCAGACAGGACCAGAGGCAGACTGACAACTCATGGGGCCCCCAGGCAATAGGGGATCATGGGGCCCCGTGTCCTCGCTCACACTCAAACCACATCCAAAAAAGCCTATGAAAGGTACCAGGGGCATCTCATGGGGCCCCCTACTAACCCTGGGCCCTTGGGCAGTGCCTGAGTCCCAAATAGTCAGTCCGCCCCTGTACAGGACTGATTGTGAACGGTTCTCTGTAAAGAGCTGAAAATACATTTGCACATCCCTGGGGGGAGGGGGGGCATACATGACTAAGCTCATCGCCTAACCTACTTTAAAAAAAGGCAACTGCCAGAAAATCATCGGTTTCTACGGGAAATGTTTCCCTGAGCCCCATTGTTCTACCTCAAAGCTTTGTGCTCCATCTATGAAGAGACAACAAGACACCGTCTGGATGACACGTAGTGCTGGGCGCAGTTATCAGGAATTTTGCTCAGCCGCCTTGTTACTGGATAATGAGCGCCGGGGCCAATCGCGCGGCTGTCGGCGTATTCACCTCTCCGGGAGGACGCGGGGACATTAAAGGAGCCTTTGAAGAAGTCTCGAAGGACCTGTCCGCTTCCATCTATTCCCTGACTGGTGCTCCGCAGAATGGATACGACGTTTGCTGTGATCAAGGGAATGTAACTCCAACGCCGTGAAGAGATAGGTTTCCCTGCAGGGACGGTTTGAAAGGAAACCTTTCGGGAAAACTGGGGCGAGCCTGGAAAATGGAAAGGAGTTTGTTTACCGATGCCGAGGCAGAAATTCTACAAACGCAAAGGTGATCTCTGGGCATGACCCTATTTTACCCCCAAACTTCTCCCTCCCCCTCCTGGTTATGTCCTACTGTGAATGTTTATACACTATATTGTCATACGTATTGGTTGGTCGGCCAGCCTTTCCACACACATGACCTTTAATGGCCCCCCCAGTCTTAGTCCGTAGGGTTCAATATTGAGTTGGCCCCGCCCTTTCCACACACATAACCTTTAATGGCCCCCCAGTCTTAGTCCGTAGGGTTCAATATTGAGTTGGCCCCGCCCTTTCCACACACATGACCTTTAATGGCCCCCCAGTCTTAGTCCGTAGGGTTCCATATTGAGTTGGCCCTGCCCTTTCCACACACATGACCTTTAATGGCCCCCCAGTCTTAGTCTATAGGGTTCAGTATTGAGTTGGCCCCGCCCTTTCCACACACACATGACCTTTAATGGCCCCCCAGTCTTAGTCCGTAGGGTTCAGTATTGAGTTGGCCCCGCCCTTTCCACACACATGACCTTTAATGGCCCCCCAGTCTTAGTCCATAGGGTTCAGTATTGAGTTGGCCCCGCCCTTTCCACACACATGACCTTTAATGGCCCCCCAGTCTTAGAGAGAGGGGGGGAAGAGAGGGGGGGAAGAGAGGGGGGGAAGAGAGGGGGGGAAGAGAGGGGGGGAAGAGAGGGGGAGGGGGGGAGAAGAGGGGGGGCCCCTGGAGAGAGGGGAGAGAGGGGAAGGGGAGGAGAGGAGAGAGAGGGGAAGGGGGGAGAGGAGAGAGAGGGGAAGGGGGGAGGAGAGAGAGAGGGAAGGGGGAGGAGAGAGAGGGGAAGGGGGAGAGAGAGAGAGGGGGGGGAGAGAAGGGAAGAGAGGGGGGGGAGAGTGGAGAGGGAAAAAAGCAGATGGCTATCTCCGGAGCCACAAAGAGATGCGTTCTTCCAGCACTCACCTGCACTTCTCCGGAATGAAAGCAGCCAGCCATCCTAAGTGTCGCCCTTGTGCAGAAACAAGGGTGGGCCTTTACCTACACCCTCCAGAAGCCCGCAGCCTTTCAGATCCTATGGCGGCACCGGATCATGGAGCCTGTAAATGCAGGAACGGTTTATAAATGGCAACCTGCTCCTGCACTGCTCCCGTCCAGTTGTTTATATACATGGACCGGATGGGAAGTGGTTAGGCAGCATTTCCCCCTCGTGTTCATAAGCAGAGAAAACATGACAAGCAGACGACACACATAGGGGGGGGGTTCAGTGAAACTTTACTGTAGATGTCAGACAAATCATAGCAATGTTAGCTGCATCAGTGCAGTCATGTTATCCTCAAACAAGCATTGGACCTCAAACAATAGAGGCGATCTCAAAGACGCAGTCAGAGGGGCCTGAGATGGAAAAGTGCAAAACCGATATCCTATAGAGAAGACCAGGAGCGTACAACCTTTCATGTCAAATGTTTATGAATGGAGGGGGGGAATTTAGCATTGAAAAAAGAGCAAACCGCAATTCTGCTTTTTTTCTTCTCTTTTCAAAGGCCCCGTGTCCTCACTGCTAAACCAGCAGATTACAACAAAATAATACACATAAAAGAAAAAAAAAAAGATAAAAACAAAAATGAACGCAACTCTGCTTGTGACCCGAAACCCCACAAATGTTGTAGAGCTGAACAGGACTTTCACCCCCCCCCCAATACAAAATTGCAAGAATACAAAAATATATATTAAAAAAAAAAAAAAAAAAAAAATCTGAAGAAGCAGCCGTCTTGTCAGATGATGATGATGGGAGTCTAAAGATATAAAAGTTTTTTTTCCCAGTAATCTCTGATCACACAATGGCGTACTGGGAGTACAAGAGTTCACGGATTTTATAAAAGTCCTCGCAGATGCACCCCTCTAAGCCGATGCGCCCCGTCTCCGTCTGGAAAAGAACAAAAGTGGATAAAGGGAAACAATTTAAAAGGTAATATATTTTTTTTCTTGTGCGGACATATACACTCCCCGGCCACAAAATTGCTAATCAGCCAATCACGTGGCAGCAAATCAAAGCATTTATTTATTTATTTTTTATTTCAGGTACTTATATAGCGCCATCAATTTACGTAGCGCTTTACATATATATTGTACATTCACATCAGTCCCCGCCCCCAAGGAGCGTACAATCTAAGGTCCCTAACTCACATTCATACATACACATACTAGGGCCAATTTAGACAGGAGCCAATTCACCTACCAGCATGTCTTTGGAGTGTGGGAGGAAACCAGAGCACCAAGAGGAAACATACGCAGGCACAGGGAGAACATGCAAACTCCAGGCAGTTGGTGCCGTGGTTGGGATTTGATCCAATGACCCGAGTACTGCCAGACGGAAGTGCTGCCCATTTAGGCTAGGTGTGCATCTGTGCAGGTGGTGCTGCTGTGGATCCTCACAAAAATCCGTGCAGCTGCACCACCCACACAGAAAAATGCGGACCCGCGGGTGGGTGCCATTCATTCTAATGGCACGCCACCCGCACTGGAAATCGCAACCGCACTGGGAACCGAGGTTCCTGTGCGGGCTGCGTTTGCAGGGACTTCTTCCCTGTGTCCCCCGGGGCACGAGATTCCATTCCCGCGCAAAACACGGACCGCAGGAACACGGATATGTGAACCGGGGTCAGGCATGTAGACGTGGTGAAGACGACTTGCTTAAGTTAAACTAAGCATCAGAATGGGGAACCTAGGGGGGGAATCTTCTGCACTGTGTAAAAAAAAAGCTGTTTGATCCTGTCTTCTCTGATCTTCCCCTTCTTCTACTGTCCCCAGTCTATTTGCTAATAGTACAGAGCCTTGGGGGAAAGCTGCACATACTCAGTTTGGTGTGTATTACTAGAGGTTTGTTTTTTTTTTCTTGAGAGTGCATGTAATCAGCACAGGGCCAATCAACGCTGTCCAGAGGGTCAGGGGTCATGCAGCCTCATAGGACAATCAGGGGACAATGAAAAACTCCTCCTGCAAGCTTTAACCAGTGCTCTGCTGGACACCGATAGAAGTCACACACGACTGCTATATACTGCTGATGAGAAAAGGTGCTTAGCAGTTTATATTTACTAAAATAAATTGCAATTCCCATGTTGCGTGTACTGTGGGACACCCAGATATAGTGAATGCGGGGTCCGGGGAGAGCGGATAATAGTGAATTGCGGGGTCCGGGGAGAGCGGATATAGTGAATGCGGGGACCGGGGGAGAGCGGATATAGTGCATGCGGGGTCTGGGGAGAGCGGTTTATAGTGAATGCGGGGTCCGGGGAGAGCGGATATAGTGAATGCGGGTCCCGGGGAGAGCGGATATAGTGAATGCGGGGTCCGGTGAGAGCAGATATAGTGAATGCGGGGTCCGGGGAGAGAGCGGATATAGTGAATGCGGGTCCGGGGGGAGAGCGGATATAGTGAATGCAGGGTCCGGGGAGAGCGGATATAGTGGAATGCGGGGTCCGGGGAGAGTTGATACAGTGAATGCGGGGTCCGGGGAGAGCGGATATAGTGAATGCGGGGTCCGGGGAGAGTTGATACAGTGAATGCGGGGTCCGGGGAGAGAGCGGATATAGTGAATGCGGGGTCCGGGGAGAGCGGATATAGTGAATGCGGGGTCCGGGGAGAGCGGATATAGTGAATGCGGGGTCCGGGGAGAGCGGATATAGTGAATGCGGGGTCCGGGGAGAGCGGATATAGTGAATGCGGGGTCCGGGGAGAGCAGATATAGTGAATGCGGGGTCCAGGGAGAGCAGATATAGTGAATGCGGGGTCCGGGAGAGCGGATATAGTGAATGCGCGGTCCGGGGAGAGCGGATATAGTGAATGCGCGGTCCGGGGGCAGAGCGGATATAGTGAATGCGGGGTCCGGGGAGAGCGGATATAGTGAATGCGGGGGGTCCGGAGAGAGCGGATATAGTGAATGCGGGGTCCAGGGAGAGCGGATATAGTGAATGCGGGGTCCGGGGAGAGCGGATATAGTGAATGCGGGGTCCGGGAGAGCGGATATAGTGAATGTGGGGTCCGGGGAGAGGGGATATAGTGAATGTGGGGTCCGGGGAGAGGGGATATAGTGAATGCGGGGTCGGGGAGAGGGATATAGCGAATGCGGGGTCCGGGGGAGGGGATATAGCGAATGCGGGGTCCGGGAGACTGGATATAGTGAATGCGGGGCCCGGGGAGAGCGGATATAGGGAATGCGGGGCCGGGGAGAGCGGATATAGGGAATGCGGGGCCCGGGGAGAGCGGATATTAGGGAATGCGGGCCCGGGGAGAGCGGATATAGGAATGCGGGGTCCGGGGAGAGCGGATATAGGGAATGCGGGGTCCGGGGAGAGCGGATATAGCAAATACGGGGTCCGGGGAGATCGGATATAGCAAATACGGGGTCCGGGGAGAGCGGATATAAAGCGAATGCGGGGTCCGGGGAGAGCGGATATAGCGAATGCGGGGTCCCGGGGAGACTGGATAAGTGAATGCGGGGTCCGGGAGTGAGACGGATATTTGATGGCTTTGTGATACTTCTGACTGAGCACGTGAGCCGGGAACCATCAATTGTGAGTCCGGCCTTCCTTCCTTCCTTCCACCCCTCCCTCCCTTTCTCCCTCTCTTCCATTATTCTGCATAAAACATTAAACAGTGCCATTTCATGAGATAATTTAGGAGAAGGTATTTAGGGGCGGGGCAGGGTAGGGGTTGGGTGGGGCAACTGGTGGTAACTCTTAAATCAGACTGGCAAGTAGTTCAGGACTGGAGGTTTTGAGCCCTGCTGTAAGACATACATATATGTGAGCTGTTGGACCTGACCTGTTTGTCATTCTATACATATAGGGGTTGATTTACTAAACCTCGAGAGTGCAAAATCTGGTGCAACTTCTGCACAGAAACCAATCAGCTTCCAGCAACAACAAAGCTTTTGCACCTCTTTCAGTTTTAGTAAATCACCCCCATTGTTTTGCGATCCCGGCACCTTCGTACATTGTGTGGAGGGAGCTCCCTGTAGTCCAAGTTTATAGTCGTAAGTACTTTCATATGCTGTATGGGAAGATTTAAGTAAAACGTGTAAAAGTCCTAATTATGGGACCCTCTTCCATACCGGGAACACTACATACGGCCGAACTGTACCAGACACATCAGGCAGATGGCGCCGCCACTCACCCTGCGAACAGCCACCAAGTTGTTACAGACAAGGACGCCTCCCACAAATTCCGCCTGAATCCCTTCCCGGAGAAAGGACCTGCTTGAAATCGGATAATCTCGGTTCATTCATGAACACAGACTGATGTCGGGAATCTGACAGACAAATCAATTCCAGGTTAGTTATCGCCTTAATACAGTTTTTTTTAAATAAAAGCTGTTTTTATTTGTTAACAGCGTTCTTTAAATTTTTATCGCATTTTTGTAGATACCAAATGACAGAAAACAGGTACAGAACAGAACAAGGTAGCAGCATGACCTACAGTAGGGGTGTCAAACTGGCGGCCCTCCAATTGTTGCCAAACTACAAGTCCCATGAGGCATTTGCAAGATTGACAGTTACAAGCATGACCCCAAAGGCAGAGGCATAATGGGAATTGTAGTTTCGCAACAGCTGGAGGGCCGCCAGTTTGACACCCCTGACCAACATTATCCAGAGGAATAGAAATGGCCTCGAAGGCTTAAAGTGAAGTAGATATAAATCCTAATTGGATGACATTTCTTTTCATAATGCACTGCGTATCAAAACCAACTGCATTTTTCTCCCCATAAACGCTTTTCACTTTTTACAATTTGTTTTTTTTTTTCTGTCAAACGCTGATGATCTCCTGCAGACCCTTTGCGGCCATTTGCCTGTGTATATGCACTCTGGCGATGGCTTGCATCAGAGAGCAACTTCTTGATGGTTGACAACGTTGGACCATACCCCACACAATGTGTGTCATCATAATCTGCTTATAGTCTCCAGCAGGATGCATGTGATATGGTGGTGACAAGGCAAGAGCACACGTGTTAGACAGTTGTCACCCCATTACTGGAAGTTCTATGGCAGGATCACCAGAGATGACTTTAATGATAAATACATTAAGTAGTTAATAAATAAATGATCTCTCTCTCTCTCTATATATATAAATATATATATAATTATACAGGATTTATATAGCGCCACCAGTTTGCTTACAGTGCTTTAAAAAAAAAAAAATATATATATATATATAATGATATATATATACATATATATATATAATACATTATAAATATATATACCGATTTATATAAGTAATTATACAAATTATTATATACATATATAAATATATACATATATATCATATATACACAAGTATATAATACACATATATATATACAAATATTATAAATAATAATACACATATAATATATACACATATAATATTTATATATATATATACATATACATATACATAATATATATAATAATATATATATATACATATAAATATACATATACATATATAATAAATAAAAATAATATACAGTTGTGTTAAAATTAATTCAACCCCCACTGAAATTGAGTGTTTTGGCCAGTTTGACATTGCTTTTGATCATTCAGTCATCTTGCTTACATTTACATTAAAGAGGCACTTGTAGGTCAGACAAATATAACATAAACAGTTATAATGAAATAACCACAAATGTCTTTTCTGTGCTCACAGCATTATCAGTTTTATTTATTTAACCCCCAAGTGACATTCAATCTTAGTACTTAGTACAGCATCCTTTATACAGTTATAACAGCTTTTAAAACGTGAAGCATAGCTTGACACAAGTGTCTTGCAGCGATCTACGGGTATCTTCGCCCATTCTTCATGGGCAAAGGCCTCCAGTTCAGTCACATTCTTAGGCTTGCGCACTGCAACTGCTTTCTTTAAGTCCCACCAGAGGTTCTCAAATCGGATTTAAGTCTGGTGACTGCGATGGCCACTCCAAAATGTTCCAGCCTTTCCTCTGCAACCATGCTCTAGTGGACTTGGAGGTATGCTTGGGATCATTGTCCTGTTGAAAGGTCCAACGTCTCCCAAGCCTCAGGTGTGTGACGGACTGCATCACGTTTCCATCCAATATATCTCCTGGTACTGAAGAGAATTCATGGTACCTTGCACACGCTGAAGCTTCCCTGTACCTGCAGAAGCAAAACAGCCCCAAAGCATGATTGACCCTCCACCATGCTTCACAGTAGGCAAGGTGTTCTTTTCATCATAGGCCTTGTTCTTCCTCCTCCAAACATAGCGTTGATCCATGGGCCCAAACAGTTCTAATTTTGTTTCATCAGTCCACAGAACACTATCCCACAACTTTTGTGGTTTGTCCACATGGCTTTTGGCATACTGCAGTCGACTCTTCTTATTCTTTGGAGACAGCAAGGGGGTACGCCTGGGAGTTCTGGCACGGAGGCCTTCATTACGCAGTGTGCGTCTTATTGTCTGGGCTGAAACTTCTGTACCCACATCTGACAAATCTTTTCTCAGTTCCTCAGCAGTCACACGGGGACTTCTCTCCACTCTACGCTTCAGGTAGCGCACAGCAGTCGAAGTCAGCATCTTCTTTCTGCCACGACCAGGTAGCGTTTTCAACAGTGCCCTTTGCCTTGAATTTGCGAATGATGCTTCCTAAGGTGTCTCTTGGTATGTTTAACATCTTTGCAATCTTCTTATAGCCATTGCCCTTCCTGTGAAGAGAAATCACCTCTTCTCTTGTCTTCCTGGACCATTCTCTTGCCTTCACCATGTTTGTAACCACACCAGTAAATGTCTAGAAGGAGCTGAGTATCACAGTCATTTTAAAGCTGCCTAATTGGTGCTTATTATGCTTGATTGCTGCTCGGTGACATCCACAGGTGTTTTCAATACCTGATGGAAAGCACCTGTATGAACCTCTGTTCTTCAGAGTGGTAGTCTTTAAGGGGTTGAATAATTGTGGCAATGAAGAAGAAACCACATAAGAACCATTTACTACTGTATTACATAAACAATTGATGTCATTTTAGTTGCATTTGGGTAGTTACAACGTCCTTGTAGGATTTGATTCTGAATACAATTCCAAATGTACACTATAGTCCCTTTTTACAGCATTGGGGGTTGAATAATTTTGGACACAACTGTATATACATATACATCTATATATATATATATATATATATATACATATACATAACATATATATATAATATATATATACATATACATATATATATATATATTTATTATTTATAAAAAATATATATATATTATATTTTTAATTTTTAAAAAATTATTATATAAATTTTTTAATTTTATTATAATATATAATTTTTTTTTTATTATAAATATATATATTTTAATATATATAAAACAGATGAATATATTATAATAAAACATATTTTTTATCATATATATATATATATATATATATATATACACACACACATTTTTATTTTAATATAAAATATATATATATTTTTTTTTGGATTTATATATATATATATTTTAATATTATATATAAAACAGATGAATATATATTATAATAAAACAAAAACATATAATTATCAAATATATATATATATATATATATATATAACACACACACACATATACATACACACATTTTTATTTTAATATAAAATATATTTATTGAAAATATTATATATATTATAATATTATAATAAAAAATATATACTTTATAATAATAAATATAAATATACATAATATATATATATATATATATATATTAGATATATTATAATAAAAAAAAATATACATTTCATTATAATATATATATCATATATATATATATTATATATATATATATATATTTTACGCATGTATATGTGTGTGTGTGTGGAACATTTATTGGGGTTGAGGCCACATGCTTCCTTGAGTTGTACTTGCTGAACAAACTATTACATGTAGCAGGAGCTCCCTCTATTGGACGCATGAAAATAAGACAGTGCGCACCTCATTACTCGTCAGGGGCTCCAACGTAGGGATGACCTCGCTTTCCTCGGTAAACTCTTTGTCATCATCTCCAAACAGGCTCTTTATAACTTTCTGTTGAGCAATGGTGCTGGCATCCACAGGCGCTACATCTACTTGCATCTCGCTGTCCTCCCCTTCCTCTTTCAACTCTCCTTCCTCCAAGATGACCCCAGTGTCGACCTTGGACACCCGCATGTCCAGCACGCCATCTATCCAGGCGAGTTCTGTGTCCTTAGCTTTGCAGAACTTAAGAGAACTGACCAGGGAGTCTTTTAACCTGACCTGCGCAAAAAGCGGTAAAGCCTCAACAATAAAGAATTTCAGAAGCAGCATAACATCCAGTAGTAAGCCACAGAAAATATTTATATGCAAGTTAGCTTGGTGGAACACTGATCAGTTTGCATACCTAATTTTTTTAATACTAGAATTGTATCTGATAATTACAGTAGTAAACAAAACCACGCTGCCATCTACAGGCCGCAAAGGTCTCTATAAGTTGGCTTTCATGCCATTACCTGGTAAATGTGCGTTTCACTAGTAGCATCCACAGTTTCGTGAAGTTTTGGGGTATAAACTTTTATGTCTTTGCCTCCAAAAGCTCTCTGCAGGCTTCTGCAAGGTCCTGACTGGCATCAGGGGGCCCGTGGACAATTACCAGCTGTCTAGGTTTCATCTGGTTAATGATCTTCTTGATGGAGTCACCGTCAGACCGCCCCTCGTAGTCGATGTATGTGACTCTGGCCCTGAGGATTACATAAGCTTGCAGTTAATGGAAACCAGAAATACGTATTTAGTTTTACACAGATATGAAAGGGGTTGTGTTTACTGATCTGATCAGAATACTTATGTTTATATATTTATGGGCCATCATTGGATTATTTGCATGGTTCCGCCCATTGTCCTCAAATGAGGAGTAATCTACTACTTTTTGGAACGTGAATATCTTTGGTTTTAAAAAGGCTTTACTGTGCTATCCCCGTGATTTGGTTTGGGGGCTTTTTGATGCCATTAGGCCCTTCTCACCATTGCTGTATGATGACGGTCTAGTTCAGTCCCAAGTACATTACAACTTCAATATGCAGGGAGCCCTTTTTTTTTTTTTTTTTTTGAAGGAGCACAGTTTTTATATATTGTATGCCACTAGGATGGCTTTTACATGACAGGGAATCGCTGGCTGAAAAAAAAAAAAAAAAAAAAGATATTGGGATGATGCCTGTAGCTGCAAGTACAGGACAACACATGACATACAAATGCTGGAATGTTGTTGTTTCAGTTGAATAAATCTATTTAAATTGTTAATATTAAGGTAATGATTATTTTTTCTCCTTCCTAAGTACAACAGAAAAGTTGTCCAAATATGAATGATTAACCTATTAAACTGGAGATAAAATATATATATATAAATATATATATATATATATATATTTGGTATGATAATATTCATCAATGTTTGTAAAACACCATAGAAGACACTATGGGGTTTATTTACTAAAGCTGGAGAGTCCAAAATCAGACTCCCTTCTGCATAGAAACCAATCAGCTTCCAGGTTTCATTGCCAAAGCATCATTGAACAAGCTGAGGTTAGAAGCTGATTGGTTTCTATGCAGAGGGGAGTCTGATTTTGGACTCTCCAGCTTTAGTAAATAAAACCCTATAGGACTACGGACTGTATTTTGAGGATTTCTTCGGGAGATTTTTTTGTATGAAGATATTCATGCAACACTAGTGTGATTGTGAATATCACATTGTGGAATTATATTAGGATTTAATTTTTATATACTCTATTGCAGGGTGGATAAAAATCAATGATTTTTAAAAAAAAAAATAAAAAAAAAATCGATTTGTTTTTAATTTAAATCTGATTTTTTTTATTTAAATCGGATTTTTTTGAATAAAATGCTTTTTGAGGAAAATATATTACCATCCAAAGGTTATTCCATCATGAGATAAAGATTAGTTTGTTAATTATGTAGAATAAGGCTGTATGTGTTTAATTTTTTTGGTAAATAAATTCCATGAATCTATTCACAATGTCACGCTCTCCAGAGGTGTCTGTAAGATTATTGGGCAGTTTCTCTGCCTACAAGATATTATCACAGATGTTGGTTTTACTTTTGCAGTTCTCAAAACTGAATGTGACTCAGCGGAGATCACATGACTCTTCACAGCAAAAATGTTATAACATGAACAGAGTTAAGAAAAAGACCTTCATCCTAACTTCTACAAACCTATGAATACAGAATCAACCCCTTCAGTGCTAAGGTGCAAGAAGTTCAGTGCTCAAAATATGAGGGGCCGACAGTGCGAGGAGGGAGGGGGCCGACAGTGCGAGGAGGGAGGGGCCGACAGTGCGAGGAGGACGGGCCGACAGTGCGAGGAGGACGGGCCGACAGTGCGAGGAGGACGGGGCCGACAGTGCGAGGAGGACGGGGCCGACAGTGCGAGGAGGACGGGGCCGACGTGGGAGGAGGACCGACAGTGCGAGGAGGACGGGGCCGACAGTGCGAGGAGGACGGGGCCGACAGTGCGAGGAGGACGGGGGCCGACAGTGCGAGGAGGACGGGGCCGACAGTGCGAGGAGGGAAAGTGCGAGGAGGAAGGGGCCGACAGTGCGAGGAGGAAGGGGCCGACAGTGCGAGGAGGACGGGGCCGACAGTGCGAGGAGGACGGGGCCGACAGTGCGAGGAGGACGGGGCCGACAGTGCGAGGAGGACGGGGCCGACAGTGCGAGGAGGACGGGGCCGACAGTGCGAGGAGGACGGGGCCGACAGTGCGAGGAGGGACGGGGGCCGACAGTGCGAGGAGGGAGGGGCCGACAGTGCGAGGAGGGAGGGGCCGACAGTGCGAGGAGGGAGGGGCCGACAGTGCGAGGAGGGAGGGGCCGACAGTGCGAGGAGGGAGGGGCCGACAGTGCGAGGAGGGAGGGGCCGACAGTGCGAGGAGGAGGGGCTGACAGTCTAAAGTTTCTTAAAAATAAATATATATTTTGTTTAGCCAAATTAGGTAACAAACATGGATGTTTAAGCAAATATCATATGCTGGAATGTTATTGTTTCAGTTGAATAAATCTATTTACATTGTTATTATTAAGGTAATGATTATTTTTCTCCTTCCGAAGTACAACAGAAAAGTTGTCCAAAAATATGAATGATTAACCTATTAAACTGGAGATAAAAAAAACTAATATGAAAATGTTATTTCTAAAATCTTCATCTACTTGTATATTAAAGTTATACCAGCAAGAATTAGTCTTTATGTAGAAAACTAGGATTTACATCCAGCCTGACTGACTAGTGATTTACATCAAATCCACCCGGCTCTATTGGTTTGCACTTATTTGATTTGTGTGTATATGATTAGTGGAGCGCGACACAAAGTGGTTTTTAGGTGGTTTACTACCGCTTTAACAGAATGTGAAATGTTGCCAGCTCACCAATCCTTAGGGTGATGGATGCAGTTGTTTTTTTTCCCCCTTTTGTCTCTTTTAATTCTTTTTGGATCACTTTTATTCCCTACCAGAAGAAATGTAAACATCCCTTGTGATAGAAATAATCTTTATTAAGACATCTGGGGTCCCCAGATCTCTCCTCTACCCTGGAAACATGGGATCAAAAAATAAATAAATACATTGTTGTCATGCTTTCCAGAAAAGAAAAATGGCAGTGTTTACATCTGCCAGAAACCAGAAATTAAGTCATCTGGTCCACAGCCACCTCTATAAACTGGCAGCACCGCCAAAGAAAGATACCGGGCTCCCAATCACACAAGGGCCCAGAGAGACACCAGTGGATGGAGGGGGGCAAAGATCATCCCCTCTCGCCGCCTATAAAAAGCAATAAAGCGGCTAATTAGCTACTAGGATGGCTTTTACATGACGGAATTGCTGGCTGAAAAAAAAAAAAAAAAGATATTGGGATGATGCCTGTAGCTGCAAGTACTGAAAGTCCAGGGCAACATATTGACGTCTTATGGTACAATGGTGTGTTTGTGTTATATATATATATATATATATTAATATATATACATACACACACATACATACATATACACACACACATACATATACACACACACACACACATATATGCATACACACACACACTGTTCATTCAAGTTAAACCGGGACTTTTCATTCATTTTCCAGGAATAATGTACTATACTCAATAAGTGGCAAGCCTGTCCTATTACTGATAGGCGGCACACATGTGGGCCAGTCCAGAGACTTAACCCCTCGCCCTCCAAAAGGATTTACCCCCCTTAATGACCCACGCCTCTTTTTGCTACTCGGCGCTGCAGTAATTCAACTGATAATTGCGCGGTCATGCAATGCTGCACCCAAACGAAATTTACATCCTTTTTTCACACACAAATAGAGCTTTCTTTCGGTGGTATTTGATCACCTGTGCGCTTTTTATTTTTCACGCTATAAACAAAAAAAGGCCAAAAATTTTTCGAAGAAAAAACAATATTTTTTTACTTTCTGCTATAAAAAATATATAGTTAAACTCAAAGTTGGTTATAAATTTTTGGCCAAAATGTATTCTGCTCCATGTTTTTGGTAAAAAAAAATCCCAATGAGTGTATATTGATTGCTTTGTGTGGAAGTTATAGCGTCTACAAACTATGGTATAGATACTGCAATTTTACGCCATTTTTCTGCTATACAGCGCTGCGCTAGTTTAACGGACAATTGCGCGCGGTCATGCAATACAGTACATAAATGAAATTTACATCCTTTTTTTCCCCACAAATTGAGCTTTCTTTCAGTGGTATTTGATCGCCTGTGCGGTTTTTATTTTTTTGCACTATAAAAAAAAAGGCTGACAATTTTGAGGAAAAAAAAAAAGAACAATATTTTGGACTTTTTGCTATAAAACATGTCCAGTAAAAAAAAAAGCAAAAATCAAAATTTAGTCATAAATTTTCTGCCAAAATGCATTCTGTGACATGTCTTTGCTAAAAAAAAAAACCAATACGTGTAAATTAATTGGTTTACGTGAAAGTTATAGCGTTTACAAATGGCGGGAAAGATACTGGGATTTTTAATTTTTATTTATACTAATAATGGCGCCGATCAGCGACTTATGGCACTGGGGGGGGGACTGACTTGGGGTCACTGACATCTCCAGTGACACCAATACAGTGATCAGTGAAAAAAAAAACACTGAAACTGTACTAATGTCAACTGGGGAGGAAGGGGTTAACATTTTTAGAATTTGCTGTGTAAGGGGAGTGTTTTACTAGGGGGCGGGGGTGTGTACTGGAGGGGGGAGGGACGGGGGAGCTGATCTAGGGAGAGAGGCAGAAACTCTTCTTGTCGGCGAACTGTCACAGAGCAGGCTGTGTGTAAACAATGCAGCCCTGCTCTGTGTCAATGATTACCGCTCATCGCGGGAAAACGGCCGGTAAAAACCGGCCGTGACCCGGCGGTGGTGACCCGCTGCTGACACCCGCGGGACAGGCAGGGCGGGCGTGTCCCCCCTACCTGTTTTGATGAAGGCAGCCATTTTAAAACGTGCTTTTGCCTTACGAGCGCCGCCCTGCCACCGTTTATATGCGGTGGCAGGGCGGCATGTGGTTAATCAAGATGGCAGACAACAGCGTTGGTACGTGCACGGAACAGCGCATGGATGTGATGAAATAACCCAGAATATCCTGCAAAAGACTTAGCTGCAGTAAGACATTTGAATAGTGTAGACGTTTCAAAGATGGCCGTACGACCGGGCCGTGGTGGTTCCCAGCCCAAAACAGTCATTCTTGTGAACATTCAGCGCGTGAAAAAGCCCGATTCTGGATTATCGACACAAAATCTGTCGTGAAATGACAAATCTTTCTGTGGTAACGGTGAACACAATGATGAGGAAGTGAAACAAGCTGTCCTAGGATGGTTCAGCGTAAACTGACAAATCTTTCTATATGCGAAGTTTTCCAGGCTTTAGTTAAATGCTGGGATGAGACTGTATAAAATTGTAGCAGGGGAGTATATTAGAAAAATAATTAAAACAGGTCCACTCCGATGAAAATAATGAAAAACCAATAATAATATGATAAACCTAAAAGTCCAAAAAAATAAATTGAAGTGCAAATGAATGAAAACTAAAACACATATAAAAGAAAACAAACACAAAAAAACAAAAAAACAAAAAAAAAAAAAACACAAAAAATAACAATGAAAATAATAAAAAAAAAAAAAAAACACAACTGGATTAACTGTGGGTGTAACAATTATAACCTTTTTTTTCTTTGGTGTGAACAAAATCTTTAATTAATTCAAGACAAATTAACTATGTAAATATATAATAAATAATAGCTTAAAATAAACGAGATAGATAGAAACAATAAATAAATAGTTACGTAGAATAGATGATAGATACAAAGGGTAGATAGATAAAAACTATTACAGAAGATTAGATAGAAGACAATAGATTTGATAGATAATAAAAGATAGATAGATAATAAGATAATAGATAGATAGATAGATGGTAGATAATACATAGATAGAAAGAAGATAGATAGATAGATAGAATAAAAAGATAGAAAACATAGTATATAAAATAGAAATAGAAAAATAGATTAGAACACATAGAACTAGAATAGGATAGCTAGATAGATAGATAAAAAATAAATAGACAGAAGATAATAGATAGATAGATAGATAGATAGATAGATAGATAGAAAAAGAAGAGATAATAGATAGATAAAAACAGATAATAGATAGATAGATAGACTGGTAGATAATAGAAGAAATTAGATAGATAGATAGATAGATAGATAGATAGATAGATAGAAATAGATATATAGATAGATAGATAGTAGATAATAGATAGATAGATAGATAGATAGAAAGATAATAAGATAGATTGAATAGATAGATAGATAATAGATAGATAGATTAAAAGATAAATAGATTTTCATAGATAGATAATAGATAGATAGATAATAGATAGATAATAGATAGATAATAATAGATAATAGATATGAAAAGATAGAAAAATAGATAGATAGATAATAGATAGATAATAGATAGATAGATAGATTAGATAGATAGTTAGATAGATAATAGATAGAGAGATAGATAGATAGATAGAATAGATAGATAGATAGATAAAGATAGAAGATAATAGAAAAGATAAATAAAGAAAAATTAAATAAATAATAGATAGAATAAAAGATAGAAGATAATAGATAGATAAAGATAGATAATAGATAGAATAGAAGAATAGATAGATAGATAAAAATAGATAATAGATAGAAAAAAAGCGATAAGATAGATAAAAACGATAGATAATAGAATAGATAAAAGATAATAGATAGATAGATAATAGATAGATAGATAGATAATAGATAGATAATAGATAGATAATAGATAGATAGATAGATAGATAGATAGATATATTAGAAAGATAGATAGATAGATAGATAGATAGATAGATAGATAGATAGATAGATAGATAATAGATAATAGATAGTATAGATAGATAATAGATAATAGATAGATAAGATAGATATATCTCAAGTCAGTGAGCCTAGACTTAAGAAAGGGGGACCTCCCCCTTAAACATGCTTCTGTGGCCACCCACCACACTGATCCTCTGATCTGTCATGTTTAGGTCCTGAAAAACAAAAAAGAAATGCATTCCATTTCATGTTTTTTTTTTTCCTGACCTAGACAGACCCGGAGGCAGGTGAGCCTAGACAGACACAAATCCGTTTATATCCGCCTGTCCATAGGGCTGTATGAAATCTTCTGACCAGGTTCGCTTAGAAAAACTGAGAGTCGGACCTGATTGGTATGTGAAAGGGCTCTAATACGGCAGTTTATGATTAAACTATAGGTTCACTTACTTTATCTCCATGGCCTCTGTTGCAGAGATGCACTTTGTGGGGACATCAGACAGGTCCTGGTCCATTGGTTCTTCCCCATTTGTCAAGCCGGACTCCAACTTGTTCTTCTCCTCCTCAGTCGCTTGAAGCTCTGGGACCAGGAAGTCTTCAGGCCTTGAGAATGAAAGCAATGTGTTAATTCTAATGACACGGCTCCAGGTGATCCACATTGGCTCACAATTGATATGATCCAAAAATATTTAGACAGTATAAAGGTGAATAAAGCACCTGGACCGGATGGCATACACCCACGGGGCCTTAAAGGAATTGAGCTCTGTCATTTCAAAGCCATTGTTTCTAATTTATCACCATGTATACATAAGGGGGGGATATGATCTCCATGTATAATACATAAGGGGGGGATATGATCTCCATGTATAATACATAAGGGGGGGATATGATCTCCATGTATAATACATAAGGGGGGGATATGATCTCCATGTATAAATACATAAGGGGGGATATGATCTCCATGTATAATACATAAGGGGGATATGATCTCCATGTATAATACATAAGGGGGGATATGATCTCCATGTATAATACATAAGGGGGGATATGATCTCCATGTATAATACATAAGGGGGGTATGATCTCCATGTATAATACATAAGGGGGGGATATATTGATCTCCATGTATAATACATAAGGGGGGGGGGATATGATCTCCATGTATAATACATAAGGGGGATATGATCTCCATGTATAATACATAAGGGGGGGGGATATGATCTCCATGTATAATACATAAGGGGGGATATGATCTCCATGTATAATACATAAGGGGGATATGATCTCCATGTATAATACATAAGGGGGATATGATCACCATGTATAATACATAAGGGGGGATATGATCTCCATGTATAATACATAAGGGGGGATATGATCACCATGTATAATACATAAGGGGGATATGATGTCCATGTATAATACATAAGGGGGGTATGATCTCCATGTATAATACATAAGGGGGATATGATCTCCATGTATAATACATAAGGGGGGATATGATCTCCATGTATAATACATAAGGGGGATATGATCTCCATGTATAATACATAAGGGGGGATATGATCTCCATGTATAATACATAAGGGGGGTATGATCTCCATGTATAATACATAAGGGGGGATACGATCTCCATGTATAATACATAAGGGGGGATATGATCTCCATGTATAATACATAAGGGGTGGGGCTATGATCTCCATGTATAATACATAAGGTGGATATGATCTCCATGTATAATACATAAGGGGGGATATGATCTCCATGTATAATACATAAGGGGGATATGATCTCCATGTATAATACATAAGGGGGGATATGATCTCCATGTATAATACATAAGGGGGATATGATCTCCATGTATAATACATAAGGGGGATATGATCATCTCCATGTATAATACATAAGGGGGGATATGATCTCCATGTATAATACATAAGGGGGGGATATGATCACCATGTATAATACATAAGGGGGGGGGATATGATCTCCATGTATAATACATAAGGGGGGATATGATCTCCATGTATAATACATAAGGGGGGGATATGATCTCCATGTATAAATACATAAGGGGGGATATGATCTCCATGTATAATACATAAGGGGGGATATGATCACATAATACATAAGGGGGATATATCTCCATGTATAATACATAAGGGGGGGGGATATGATCTCCATGTATAAATACATAAGAGGGGGATATGATCTCCATGTATAAATACATCAGTGGTTCATATAGTGAACTCGGTGTAGTTATCCCCCCTGAGGTCATCACAGAGGACAAGGGGGCGCTCTTTACGTCTGGAGGAAAAGAAATGTAATCTCCAAACACGGAAAGGTTTCTTCACAGTGAGAGCTGTGAGAATGTGGAATAGACTCCCTCCAGAGTTGGTTGTGGCCAGCTCAGTGGATTGCTGTAGGAAAGTCCTGGATTGTTTCTTGGATACACAGAATATAACTGGATATAACATTTATAGGGAAAGTTGATCCAGGGAATATCCGATTGCCTCTCGGGGGATCAGGAAGGAAATTTTTCCCCTGCAGGAGCAAATTGGATTGTGCTTTGCTGGGTTTTTTTAGCCTTCCTCTGGATCAACTGTGGGTGTAGGATAACTTTTTTTGTTTTTAATGGTTGAACTGGATGGACCTTTTTCAGCCAGACTAACTATGTAATTTTTACATTAAAGCGGAGCTCCATGCAAAAGGGGAAGTTCCGCTTTAATGCTTTGTCCGTCACTCCCCATGAAGGATTGGCACCTTTGGGGAGCGGGTACCTAAATTTGACAGGTACCCGCTCCCACTTCCGCTGCGATTACCTAGGCGATCAGAAGCGGAAGTTGTCCTCCCCCTCCCTCCATTTCCGTAGTCTTCTGGGACACGTGACAGGTCCCAGAGGATTACGGGACCATTTAAAAAGCGCAGTGCTTCTCGTGCATGCGCAGTGGGCACCCGGCTGTGAAGCCACAAGCTGCCACAGCCAAGTGCCCACACTAAAGATGCTGGCACCGTGGAGAGAAGACGGCCGGTGAAACCAGCGATGGTGACACTCCTGGACCGAGGGACAGGTAAGTGGCAGTTCTTGTAGCTGCTGACTTCTATTTTTTATTTTTTTCAGCTGGAACTCCGCTTTAAGGACTCGTTCACACCATGGTGCAGAGACATCTGTTTTTCTGCACGCGCTCTGCAAGGCACAACAAAATCAATTGTTTTCCATGTGCCCTATTCACATCACAGCACTGGTACCACTTGCGGATTTTTTCAGCACGTCAGTTTTCCACGTACGTATGGTGTGAACGAGCCCTAAATGCCGCACAAATCAGCAGGAATCAAAAATGAAGAAAGCCTCACTTTATGATGATTTCTCCATATTCATCCCATTTGATACGCTCCTCAGTGGCAGGGAACATGGGGTAAGACTTTTTTGGCCTGTTTGAAGAAGGAGCCCTTCCGGCTGCCCTCGTTCTTCATCATCAGGTCGTGTTTAGTCTTGTGAGCCATTGGCTGGTCGATATCCTCTTCTATGTCGCTGTCATCGCTGGAGTCGATGTCGGCCCTGAGAGGGGGAACCAGAGATCCCTGTGAGAATATGAGAAAGATGGCAGCTGCATGGAGTATGGTGAGAAAGAATACGATACTCACTCTTTGGACTGTTCCAGCTTCTTGGCAGCTTCTTTCTTCAGTTTTTCTTTCTCCAGATATTCCTCCAGCTCCTTTCCTTCCAGTTTCACCCGTTTTCTAAGCTGAACAAGCGAAAAAAAAATATTTTTGACCAGATTGTTTCAACAGCAAAGAGCAGATACTTTAACCACTTCCAGTCCGGACACTTTCCCCCCCCCCGCCTTCCAGTCCGGACACCTTCCCCCCCCTTCCAGTCCGGACACTTTCCCCCCCCCTTCCAGTCCGGACACTTTCCCCCCCCCCTTCCAGTCCGGACACTTTCCCCCCCCGCCTCCAGTCCCCCCCCCCCCCCCTTCCTTCCAGTCCGGACACTTTCCCCCCCCCCTTCCACTCCGGACACTTTCCCCCCCCCTTCCACTCCGGACACTTTCCCCCCCTTCCACTCCGGACACTTTTCCCCCCTTCCACTCCGGACACTTTCCCCCCCCTTTCCACTCCGGACACTTTCCCCCCCCTTTCCAGTCCGGACACTTTCACCCCTCTTCCAGTCCGGACACTTTCCCCCCCCTTCCAGTCCGGACACTTTCCCCCCCCTTCCAGTCCGGACACTTTCCCCCCCCCTTCCAGTCCGGACACTTTCCCCCTCTTCCAGTCCAGGCCAATTTTCAGCTTTCAGCGCTATCACACTTTGAATGACAATTGCGGCGATCATGCAACACTGTACCCGTATGAATTTTTCAGCATTTTCTTGAGACAGATAAAGCTTTATTTTGGTGGTATTTATTCACCACTGGGATTTTATTTTTTTTGCTATGTAAATGAAAAGTTCAAAAATTTGTTTTTCTTATAAAAAAAATTTTTTCTTATAAAATTTTGAAAATAAATAATGTTTCATCATAAATATTGGCCAACATTTATTCCATTATCTTTTTAGTAAAAAAAAAAAAAATATATAACCCAAATTAGTTTATAACCAAAAATTATAATTTTTAAACATTTTTGTTTTTTACATTTTTAAATTATGTTTTTTTTTTTTACATACGGTCACCCTAGCAGTAGTGTTACCATGGTGATGAAGATTTATTTTTTTTTCTTACACTGATTGCCTTTACACCCATAAAGGCTGTAAAAGCAATAATTTCTCTCTTCTCTCTGGCTGCATTCTTGCAGCCATTGAGAACTACTGTGTGAGCTGTGATTGGTCACACCTTGTCCCATGGTACAAGGCTGTTGTGAATAGCCCTGTACCATGTGACCTCTGTGATCGTTCACAGATTTCACACGTAGTAAGTAATGATGTCAGAAGTGACAACCTGCTTACTACTCTGCATGTGATCATTGATTGGCCAATCAGTGATCACATGATCGGGACCTCGTACAGAGGTCCCGTACGACGATCGGTGTTCCACTGTGTCCGGAGAACACAGCAGGCACCGGATCGCGGTGCTGCGCGCTCCCAGGGAGTGCGCACAAGCAGGGGGCGAAGAGGCCGTTTATAAACAACCACCCACCCCTGCACTGCCACCATCCGCCCGTTTATATACAACAGCCGGATGGGAGGTGGTTAAAGAGGAGCTCCAGGCTTCTGTGTAAAAATGAAAAGTCGGCAGCTAGACAAAAAAAAAAAAAAAAAAAAAAAAACTGTAGCTGCTGATTTTTAACAAACGACCATTCCCTTGTCCCACGATCCAGCGCTCTGCTCACCCCCAGCTATTTTCACCTCCTGATGTGCGTCCCTGGCACCAGCGTTTCAGCTGTGGGTACCCGGCTGTGACTTCACAACCCGGTGCCCACTGAGCATGTGCGAGCCGCAGTGCGCACTGTGAATGGTCTTCTGGAATCTGTCACGTGAAGCAGAAAACTACAGAAGGGGAAAGGGGGGGGGGGGGGTACACTTCCGCTTCTGATCACCTAGGCGTCAAAATCAGGTACCTGGTCTGCCCCCTCCCCAAAAGTGCCATTTCAGAAACAGCAGTTGGGAGGAGGCCTTAAAGTAGGGGTGTCAAACACTCCAGCTGTTGCCAAACTACAAGTCCCATGAGGCATTGCAAGATTGACAGTTACAAGCATGACTCCCAAGAGCAAAGGCATGATGGGACTTGTAGTTGTGCAACAGCTGGAGGGCCGACATTGGTTCACCGCCATACAATCACAATACGTCCACACACAGGGGACAGTCCTGCTGTACCGAGTGCTCCCCATTCACTGTCTACTAATGGTTCTGAGGGTGCTCATAGCGTGCCTACTGACGGTGCCAATGTCTGCAGCTGAAGTCATGCTGCCCCTTCCCTTGGAGTCTATCCAATCCTCAGAGTCCTCTTTAGCCCCTTTGGGGGTAGATGGCTTCTGTCTTTTCAGCTGATGTTTTTACCAAAGTCATGCAAGTCTTTATAAACCAAAACCACTTATTTGGCGACTGATCGCAGATGCTCTATTGGATTGAGATCTGGGGAATCTGGAGGCCAAGTAAATACCTTGAACTTGTTATGTTCCTCAAACCATTCTTGAACCATTGCTGCAGTGTGGCAGGGCACATTATTCTGCTAAAAAAAGGCCTCCGCCATCAAGGAATAGTTTCCATGAAGGGGTTACTTGGTCACCAACATCCACATGAATAGCAGGACCCAAGAACATTGCCCAAAGCATCACACTGCCTCCGCTGCCACACCTTTTTCCCATACTGCATCCTGGTACCATCTCTTCCTCAGGTAAGTGGCGCGCGCGTGCGGCTATCCACTTGATGTAAAAGAAAACATGATCCATCTGACAAGGCCATCTCCTTCCATGGCTCCGTGGTCCAGTTCTGATGCCCATTGTAGACACTTTTGGCTGTGGTCACGGATCAACATGGGCGCCCTGACCGGTCTGCGGCTACACAACAAACTGGGATGTCCATTTTTTCTGCTTTTGACATCAACTTCAGGGACAACATGTTCGCTAATATATCTCACCAACTTTCAGATGCCATTGTAATGAGATAATCAACATGATTCACTTAACCTGTCAGTAATCATAAAGTTATGGTTGATCGGTGCATGTATCTCTCTCTGTATCTATATATCTCTCTCTATATCTCTCTCTCTCTCTCTCTCTCTCTCTCTCTCTCTCTCTCTCTCTCTCTCTCTCTCTCTCTATATATATCTCTATCTATATATCTATCTATATATATATCTATCTATCTCTCTATATACATACATATTTTCATACCGCCCCCCTTCCTCTTTTTTTTTTTTCTACCTGTTTGAAAGCCTATATGACCTCTGTCTGTTTAACACTTGCCCCTTGGACGCTGTCAGTTTACCCGACAAGTAAAAAACAGATAAACCAGGTACTTGTGTCCATTAACCCCAGGCTCACATCTGTGTGGGTGGTGCCGCTGTGGATCCGCAAGAAAATCTGCACAGCCGCACCACCCTCACAGAGAATTGCGGACCTGCGGGTGGGTGATATTAGTTCAAATGGCACGCCGCCCGCACTGGAAAAGGCACTGGGAACCTCGGCTGTGTTTCCCAAAGAAGTACAGGGACTTCTTTCCCTGCATGTCACGGGGCACAGGAGTCCATTCAAATGAATGGGCTCTCGTGCCCACGCAAAACGCGGCCCGCACGGTCGCATAGATGTGAACCGGGGGTAAGCCAGGCTGCGTCATACCTCTATATCTATGATCTTCTCGGTGGGGTTGTCGATCAAAAAGCGGCTGAGGGTTCCTGGGGTGGTGCGGTAGGTGAGGATGATGGAATTTTTTGGATCCTGACACCATTGGATGAACAGCTCTCTGGAGAAGCCACATTCCAGGTCAGGCTGACTGGCCAGCACCACTTTTGGACTGGGGACACGAGCGAGATCTGCGAAGCCGTGACACAGGGAGAGATGTCGGAACTGAAAGGGATTGTTCCTCTTGTCTTCAAAACATCTCATCAGCTTGTCGCTCATCCACTCCACCTGTGAAGAAAAGAGGGCAGATTCTTGCAAATTCAAAATAACACTTGCAAGGAGACTAATGCAGGCCATAGACGGTTTATTGGCCGATTTTTCATCTGAAAAACAAAACATCGTTCGTTCTGTAAACCGATGTTGCCACCAATGATTGCCGTTTTTCATGAATTTTCCAGCATGACCATTAAACGAAATGAGGAGGAACTGCGAAAATCGGCCAATGCCATTACCCCACTAACAGTGAGAAAATCGGCCGATTAATTTTTCGGACGAAAACTCGGCCGATAAATGAACGGTCTATGGCCTGCATAAAACAGGAGTTTGAGCAGTCGCAGCAATCGCTATAGCAACAACATTATTATTTATTATTATTATACAGTATTTATATAGCGCCAAAGGGTATGCTCAGCGCTGTACAGTAGCAAGGGGGACAGAACATGAGACAAGACAGTAACAATACAATACACGAGGGGTTCGAGGGCCCTGCTCTTTCGAGCTTACAATCTAGGAGGGAGGGGAAGGTGGGACAGGAGGAGATGGCTGTGGGGGGATGGAGTGGTGGGAGGAGTGGAGGAGGTTGTTAGGTGAGGTTGGGGTAGGCTTCCCTGAAGAGGAGGGTTTTCAGGGTGCGCCTGAAGGTGAGGAGGGTGGGTGACAGTCTGATGGATTGGAGTAGGGAGTTCCAGAGGATGGGGGAAGTCCTAGAGAAGTCCTGCAATCGGGCGGGGGAGGAGGAGACCAGGGAGCTAGAGAGTAGGAGGTCCTGAGAGGAGCGGAGGGCACGGGTAGGGTAGTATTTGGGTATCAGGTCAGTTACAGTCAGGTCCATAAATATTGGGACATCGACACAATTCTAACATTTTTGGCTCTATACACCACTACAATGGATTTGAAATGAAACAAACAAGATGTGTTTTTTAACTGCAGACTGTCAGCTTTAATTTGCGGGTATTTACATCCAAATCAGGTGAACGGTGTAGGAATTACAACAGTTTGCATATGTGCCTCCCACTTGTTAAGGGACCAAAAGTAATGGGACAGAATAATAATCATAAATCAAACTTTCACTTTTTAATACTTGGTTGCAAATCCTTTGCAGTCAATTACAGCCTGAAGTGTGGGAACGCATAGACATCCCAGACGTTGGGTTTCATCCCTGGTGATGCTCTGCCAGGCCTCTACTGCAACTGTCTTCAGTTCCTGCTTGTTCTTGGGGCATTTTCCCTTCAGTTTTGTCTTCAGCAAGTGAAATGCTCAATCGGATTCAGGTCAGGTGATGGACTTGGTCATTGCAGAACATTCCACTTCTTTCCCTTAAAAAACTCTTTGGTTGCTTTTGCAGTCTGCTTTGGGTCATTGTCCATCTGCACTGTGAAGCGTCCAATGAGTTCTGAAGCATTTGGCTGAATATGAGCCGATAATATTCCCGAAACACTTCACAATTCATCCGGCTGCTTTTGTCA